TTTAGGGTTTAGGGTTTAGGGTTTAGGGTTTAGGGTTTAGGGAAAGGAGGGAATCTACCCGAAGACCTAAATCCTCAACCTTAAGCCGTAAGTTCAAGAGACGTGTACAAACCAACGCCTTAACCCTCAACCCCAAACCCCAAACCCTAAACCCTAAATGCCTTGGGCAGGCTTAGGCAAACAAAGTCCCAGGCAAACCCCTTCTGGTTGCTAGGACTCCGACTTCTGGGCCCGGAATTCTAAGGGCAGGCCTTATCCTTCTAAAGTCTCGGGCTGTTGGGCCTACAGGGTTTGGTTTAAGGCTTAGGGTTTAAGGTTTAGGGGTTTAGGCGTCTAGGGTTTAGGGTTTTAGGGTTCAGGAACTCAGGATTGCAGGGTTTTGGGCTGTTCGAAAAAGAGCTGGGAAGGACGGTGGGGAAGCCTGTGCGCTGGTCGGCCACGATGACGGCCGCATTCAGCGGCACGGCCCGAAAAAGACTGTCGGCGGCGGCTTCGACAGGTTGAGGGTTGTTCAGAAGTACTAAATAGGGGTCGGAATACTTACTGAAAGTGTATTCTTCTGGTCCCGGTATATCTGCTTTATACTAACCCCCCCCCCCCCCCAGCACCCTATTCTATTTATTCAGGCCCCTGTATTATGGTTTTTGTTGGGATTCCGATTCAAGTTTGACCATGTAGATTCTACATTGCAGGTTCAAGCCCTTCGTATAGCGCAGCTACGGCTGTCATATAGGATTCTTGAGGTTCACGGGGTATTACCGGGGGTTATAGGGTTTATGCGGTTTATAGGGTTGATGGCGGGGCTATAGGGTTTCTCTGGTGAATGGAGTTTATCGGGTTTCTAGCATTTATCGGGGTGCATAGGGTCTAGACCTAGAAGCCTGATCAGCCCCGGTGGGCCTTATGAACCCTCAGCCTATTGCAATTCAATGCTAGTATATCCTAAAAAGCGCTAGTAGATGATGGCTTTAGGAGAGGGTAAGTAACGTCATACTTAACCCTACATCCTAAACGCCCTTCTGCATCTCACGAGGTTGCTGGACATCGCCAACGGCAATGAGAAGCAGAGTTTTGAGGGTCACAAGGCTTGTGTCGGTTGTTCCTTGAATTTTGGACGTTTGGGGGTTAAGACCCTAAACCCTAAACCCTAAACCCTAAACCCTAAACCCTAAACCCTAAACCCTAAACCCTAAACCCTAAACCCTAAACCCTAAACCCTAAACCCTAAACCCTAAACCCTAAGTCACCCGGGTGGAGGGGGGGTGGGGGGATGGTTAAGGCGACTTCTGGCACGTTTTGCGTTTGCCCGGTCATATGCCCTCAGCCCCAATGCGCCGCAACCAATCCAAAACTCAATCCTGGGACCCTCTCCCCTCTCCTCAAAGGCAAAAAAAAAGTCTGAATAGAATGCAGATAAAACACATAAATTGCTCACGCACCCCCCCAACCTCTGCTTGCAAACAGCCTCCTAAGCCCCAAACCCTGGAATCCTACACCCTAAAACCCAAAACCCAAAACCCCAAAACCCCCAAACCCTAAACCCCAAACCCCAAACCCTAGACCCTAAACCTAAACCCTAAACCCTAACCTCTATTGCCTCTTGGAGGACTACATCACCTGCATGGAGGCCCACTGGGCCACGCACGAGGCCATGAGTACCTCCGGCGAGCCGTGGCTGCCTGAGGGGCACAGGGGCCTCAACCAAGGGCCCCCGGTAGGGTTCAGGGTTCAGGGTTCAGGGTTTAGGGTTTAGGGTTTGGGGTTTGGGGTTTGGGGTTTAGGGTTAACGGTTTGGGGTTTAGGGTTTAGGGGTATCGGTTTGGGGTTTGGGGTTTAGGGGTTCAGGGTTTAGGGTGCAGCTTGTCATACTAAATAGTTTCAGCAGTTTAAGCATAGATGTTTACGTCTTAAGGAATATGTTTTGACTTACTGTAAGAGAGCCCGCAGGCGGTTTAAGGGCTGCTCTTTGAATACGGAAGGGGTTTGGGGCGACCTGGTTCACGGCCCCTGTTCCAGTTCAGGTCTGATTGGGAGGAAGGGTGACCATTGTAGGACGAAGTATTCTCAACATTCCAGGCTCAGGCTGATATTTAGGGTTAAGGGGAGGGGGAACATTGCAGGACGGATGTTTATTCTTTTTTAGATCCCAGCTGAATTTTGAGCTTGGTGAGGCGAGGGGACAGTTCCAGCACGAATTCGAATCTTTCAAGTCAGCAGCAGACTTCCCAGAGCCGCTTTTCGTAAACTTTTTTTGGTTTGTCTCCAGTTTTTCAGCTCCAAATTGCGCATTTCCGAATCTTGGCGACAAATTTTAGTTACTTCCCAAAATAGACCCCCTCCTCCCCCCCCCCCCCCCCCCCCACCCCCTTCTGTCCCCCCCCAACCGTGGGCATGAGGGGCCTCATGCTCATCAACTTCCCGGTGCTGATTGAGGGTATCATGGTGGTGTTATGGACGTGAAGAAGACCTGAGCTGCTGCTCCACGTGTTGGGGTGTTAATGAAGCACTGAACGAGCTTCGTGCTTGACATCTTGAAAAGGACGCTTCCAGACGCCAGACGAAAATTGTAATCTTCAACCCCGAACCCACCAAACCTTGAACCCCAAACCCTAAACCCTCAACCCTCCACTCAACCCTAAACCCTAAACCCTAAAACCCTCAATCCTAGAACCCTAAACCCTAAGCCCTCCACGTTCCCTTGACAATGAGGATGGGGCGGTCTTCTACTGGAACCTGCAGACTGGGACTGGAACGGAGTTGACCCCGCCGGAGGCCTGAATTCGAGGGCCTTTTAGGGTTTAGGGGTTCAGGGTTTGCGGTTTAGGGTTTAGGGTTTAGAAATTAGGGGTTTCGGGTTCAGGGTTTGGGGTGTAGGGTTGAGGGTTTGGAGTTTGGGGTTTGGGGCTGGGCTTTAGGGTTTAGTCGAATTTAGTCGTAGATTCCCCCACGTGCCCTTTTCTTACCTTAAACCCTTGTTTGACAGCGTCCCTTCGCAGACCGTTTTGGCTTATGGTCTCGGGTCGAACCACAACCCTTAGTACCTTTATGTACACCTTTCTAAAGCTCTGTAGTTCTACCCATGCAGATGTTTCCTTAGCCACACCTCTTCTTGCTATATCCCACAGATGAACACCAACTTTTGGGGATTGCCCCCGCCGTGTCCGAGGGTTCTGGGTTTTCGGCTTTTCGGCTTTCGGGTTTAGGATTGTGGCGCTTTAGAGAAATGTGTGAGGTGGCGTCTGTTGTTCTTGGGCTGCGGGTTCTAAGCCGTGCGCTTTAAGCTCAACGCCCAGTGGAGCAACAAGTTCTTAGGACCCCTCGAGCTCGCCTGCCCAACGCAACGGTTTAGGGTTTAGGGTTTAGGGTTTAGGGTTGAGGGTTGAGGGTTTAGGGTTTAGGGTTTAGGGTTTAGGGTTTAGGGTTTAGGGTTTAGGGTTTAGGGTTTAGGGTTTAGCCTTCCGACCACACGTAAAGCCGCACAAAACGCTTGGTTTGGGACATGTCGAGCCGCTGAAAGCGCTTGGTTCGGACATGTACAGCCGCTCAAAGCACTTGGTTTGTGGGGGTGGGGGGTATGCGAATGGTCCTCACGATTCGGACATGTACAGCCGCTCAAAGCACTTGGTTTGTGGGGGTGGGGGGTATGCGAATGGCCCTCACGATGAGAACGTCCGTGGTACCAGTGCGTGCGAGTGGCCAGAGCATCCATGCCCGCACGATGAGAACGTCCGTGGTACCAGTGCGTGCGAGTGGCCAGAGCATCCATGCCCGCACGATGAGAACGTCCGTGGTACCAGTGCGTGCGAGTGGCCAGAGCATCCATGCCCGCACGATGAGAACGTCCGTGGTACCAGTGCGTGCGAGTGGCCAGAGCATCCATGCCCGCACGATGAGAACGTCCGTGGTACCAGTGCGTGCGAGTGGCCAGAGCATCCATGCCCGCACGATGAGAACGTCCGTGGTACCAGTGCGTGCGAGTGGCCAGAGCATCCATGCCCTCACGATGAGAACGTCCGTGGTAGGAGTGCGTGCGAGTGGCCAGAGCATCCATGCCCGCACGATGAGAACGTCCGTGGTAGGAGTGCGTGCGAGTGGCCAGAGCATCCATGCCCGCACGATGAGAACGTCCGTGGTACCAGTGCGTGCGAGTGGCCAGAGCATCCATGCCCTCACGATGAGAACGTCCGTGGTAGGAGTGCGTGCGAGTGGCCAGAGCATCCATGCCCGCACGATGAGAACGTCCGTGTTACCAGTGCGTGCGAATGGCCAGAGCATCCATGCCCGCAGGATGAGAACGTCCGTGGTACCAGTGCGTGCGAGTGGCCAGAGCATCCATGCCCGCACGATGAGAACGTCCGTGTTACCAGTGCGTGCGAGTGGCCAGAGCATCCATGCCCGCACGATGAGAACGTCCGTGTTACCAGTGCGTGCGAATGGCCAGAGCATCCATGCCTGCACGATTTCTTCGGCCGCCCTTCTTCATGAGGCGGATTTTATGTTTATGCTTCCACATGGAGGATACCATGCATCCGAAGGAGTGCTGCTTTGTAGAGCCCATGAAATATGCTCCTTCAAGTGCATTTTGGAACCGTGAACACCACTGGGATCCCCCACCTTTGGCTAGATGTTGTGTCTCAGCTGGCAGTTTTGTTTGTGCTCGCCTGACCCGAGTGGCTCGGGGCAGAAGTCACTGTAGGGGACTAGAGGCAGTCCTTTCAGATACCCTGAACCCAAACCCTAAATTTCGGCTAAACCCCGGCTCCACCCTAAACTTCGCTAAACTTTAAAGCTTCAATCGCAAACCCTGAACCCTAAGCTAAACTTTTAAGCACCTCAAACCTAGACCGTACACCCTGGCAGGCCAGGGCTGCGTTTTTTGTTAGCATACTTCAATATCGTAGTTTCTAGTTTCCGTTTGCGTCCAGTGTGGAAGCCATGTCAGAAGATCTTCCTCCAAGCAAGGGCTCCAGGGCAAAGCTACCCGTACTCAGGCTGGCCGCATGTTCTTGATGAGATCTCGCTCCTCTGGCCGGCGTGTGTGGGTGCCCCTGCCCAACCAAACGGTTGCGCGCGGTGCTGCCAGTGCACCCGAGAAGACAGCTGAGGTGCTGCAGCCGATGTTGGACAACATCCACAGCAGCTGCTTTCTGGGAGCCGACTCCGGACCCGCGCTGCAGTCAGGGGCGGCAGCAGTTGGGGCCATGGCCAGTGCGGCGTGCCATAGCCGCGAGGAGTTCACGCCCTTGCTGAGCCTGCGCAAGAAGAACCTTTCACCCGAGCACCTCAAGACGTTTCGTAAGTTTGCCAAAGGCAAAGGTGGCCAGAAGACGGTCCACGAAACCAGCCACACGTTTCAGGTCCTCGGGGGGGATAACCCCGCCGAGGCTGTGTTCAGCCAGGCGAAGAATCAACTTCGGCGTGTCAATCGTCTTGGTCGAGACGCTGCTAAGACAGTCTCCAAATCGTTTTTGGCCGCGCAATGGTCCCTGCACAGACCAGGCCTCCTGAATCTTCTCCAAGCCTTCAGGGCATACCAAGCGTGGAACGTTGATCGTTTGGGTGTGGACCCTTATGATCAACTCACGGAAGATCGGCCTTGGGAGTTGCTGGAACTTTAGATCCCTCGAACCCTCAAAGATTCGCTGAATTTATAGTGCCCAAAAACGCTGCTTCCAGCTCTTCCCCACTGCATGCATCCCAGACTGCCACTTATCATCCCGTACTACCCTGCGTGGGATGCTCAGCACTTCCTGCCGACAACTCCTGTCTTGTCTCTACCTTCCACCGCTTCCCGCAACTTAAAATTCCAAGATTTTTAAGTTGCGCAATGGTTGCCGCTCAGCCGCTTGCCAAGCTCCAAAAGCGTGGCAGGCGCGATAGAAACAGCGTTGGCACTCCGCAGAAAAGCTTCTGGGCGCGGCTTAACGCGCGGTCGGAGCGTTTAGCCTTTAGGGTTTAGGGTTTAGGGTTTAGGGTTTAGGGTTTAGGGTTTAGGGTTTAGGGTTTAGGGTTTAGGGTTTAGGGCCAACTCCCTGAACATCTTTGAACATACCTCTGCCGTGGAACTTTAGGGTTTAGTGTTTAGGGTTCAGGGTTACAAGCCCTAAAAAGATGGCTGGGGCCAGGTGCTGCCCAGAAGCAGCGTTCGCACGCTGGCCGTCGACTGGGCCGGCAAGCGCGCCGTGACGGGCAATGACGACGGATGCTCGGCGCAGAGGGGCTGGGGGTGGGGGTTGGGGGGGTTCAGGACGCCTCTTGACAAAGAGATGCGGCAATTCTGGCTTATCAATTTGAGGCAGCCAAAGCTCAAAGCTTTCTCAAACCCCAAGCCCGGAACCCAAACTCTCTAGCAGCCTAGAACCCTGAACCCTCTAAACTTTTATATAGTCCCTACATATCCTGAAATACCAAACTCCTAAACCCTCCTAAACCCTAAAACCCAATCCTGCAACCAAGCTGCCTTCCTTTCTCGAGGCTACTTTGTCATCTGGGACCTCCAGGAGCAGGTCGGTCAGAGGATTCTGAACTGCAGCGGCCCAAGAAGAGCTGCAACCCCCCGGGCCGTAGCCTCCCCTCACGGCTTGCTTAGGGTTTAGGGTTTAGGGTTTAGGGTTTAGGGTTTAGGGTTTAGGGTTTAGGGTTTAGGGTTTAGGGTTTAGGGTTTAGGGTTTAGGGTTTAGGGTGGGTTTAGGGTTCAGGGCGGTTCTAGAAACCCTGAACCCCAAAGCCACGCATCAAGGTGCCCAACGCCTCTTAGGCAAGGTATACACCTCACGCATGTCTAGGAGTTCTTGGATTCCCTAAACCCTAAGCCCTAAGCCCTAAACCCTAAACCCTAAACCCTAAACCCTAAACCCTACTAAACCCTAAACACCGACCTCAGGCAAGGTTGGGATGATCCTGTCGATATATCCAGACTGGGCCAAGATGCGGATGCTCGTGGGCCATGGCGCCGCCCGGCATAAGGCTTGGGGTTTAGGGTTTAGGGGTTTAGGGTTTAGGGTTTAGGGTTTCGGGTTTAGGGCCATGGCGACGCCCGGCAGAAAGCATATTTAGCTTGCTAGCCCAGTGGTGCCCTTTTTCCCTTTTTTTGGTTCTGGTTCCCTTATAAAGCAACCAACCGAAAAAAAGGGTGCCCTTACTATAATATGGTTTCTGAGCTACTAAGTTGGGCTCTTAAAGATGCAGAGACGACCATGTCATACGGTGGCCCACGAAGAGACCCACATGTTGAGGTAGGGTTGAGGATGTATCTAACCTCGAGAACGTCAAATCCATGTTTAAAGCCTGCTTGGCGACCCTCGCCTCTCTTTGTCGAAAGCCACAGAAGCCCACGGAAACCCCAACGTGGCGTGAGACTCCCAAGTCCTCAATCCGCAAGCCGCGGCAGCCCAAAGCCCAAAGCTCGAAAAGGCCAAAGTTGGGATGTTTCCCCTTATACTATCAGTCCTGAGGATTCTACTCGGGGTACTGTAATCCCTGTTAAGGGCTGTTAGTATAAGGGGGAACATCCCAAGCCCAAAGCCCCCAAACCTGAAAGCCCGCACCTTCGAGACCCCTCAGCCGCAAAGCAGCCCTAGAATCAAACCCTAAAGGCCACAAAGGCCTTCGGCCCCGAAACCCCAAAGCAGCCTGAGCAAACACTAAAGCCGGCCAAGCCCTATTTGGGACCCTGTTTTACTACAGGGTTCTGGACCATACACGCTATAGGGGGTACCGGCTAGTAAGCTGTAGGTAGAGCCTGTTGCACCTAAGCCCTAAACTCTAAACCCTAAAGCTCTAGAAGCCAACCTCCCCAGGATTGCGACCTGGATCTGCTGAGCCTCAAGGACGGCTCGCGGATCAAAGCCGCTTGGCAAAGCATGGGCCAGTAGCCCGTAACCATCCCCTCTAAGCCCTCGAAGCCCGCGTTATGTCCTACAAGCCCTCTAACCTGCAAGCCGCTCCTATAGCCCGTGCTAGCCCTGTAAGGCCTATCTATACCTACAAGCCCTATGGGGACCTGCAAGCCACCTTCTGCCCTCTAAGCCATAATCAGCCCCTAAACCCTAAACCCTAAACCCTAAACCCTAAACCCCAAACCCTAAACCCTAAACCCCATAAGCCCCTGCATGCCCTATGAGTCCCAGAACCCCCGAACCCTCGAAGCCCTCGAAGCCCTGAGCCGGCGACATTATTGGGCTCATCTTCCGGGAGTTTCGGAGCCTTAGGCCTTTAGGGTTTAGGGTTTAGGATTGGGGTTTAGGGTTTAGGGTTTAGGGTTTAGGGTTTAGGGTTTAGGGTTTAGGGTTTAGAGGCTCTAAGATTTTTTCGTTGTTTAGGCTTGATCAGACCCTCAAAGCCGTGGCCGTCTACTTTGGAGCCCTGGGGTAAGAGATGAGGCCATGAGGGTTTTGTTTGGGCTAGGGTATTCTGCCCCTAAGCCTATAAGCCCTAAACCCCCCCGCAGCCCTAAACCCGTCGGAGTGGCCAGGCTTATCCCATCAAGCAGCTTGCTCTGCACTGATTTCCGAGTTTAGCTTTGTTGGGTTTTCAAGCTTTGGGCTTTTGGGGCTTTCGGGGTAGAAAGGGCTTTAGGGCGTGCAGGGTGTTAAAGCTCTGTAGGCTTCAGGGCGGTTCAACTTTCACTCTATCCCCCTAAGCCTTAAGCTACTTAACCCTTCACCTGCGAACCCTCAACCAGAAGGGTCTGAACCTCAGCGCAGTCCCCTCAAGCCTAGGGCATTTTCACATCCAGCCTCCCCTCCCCCATAATGTTGGCTTCAACGACCTTGGTCCTGAAGGCACTTCTTGGTGACGGCGCTGGATGTATCGTGGTCGAAGGCCCCAACTCAAAACCAGCTTGCAGGGCCGTTCGCGTGCTGTTGGGGTCGCGGGTTGAGGGGGTCGGGAACCCTCCACCCTAAACCGCAACCCCCGAAACCCTTTTCAATCTAATGTTGGAACCATGGCCGTTAGTATGGATGGCCCTTAGCATGGTCCCTTAGCCTTGTTTGTAGGGATCCGAAGTATGGGTCCGTATTAATAAGTTAAGGGCCCATATTTGAGGGTTGCGATTTAGGGCCCTCGACCCTAAACCCCAAACCCCAAACCCCAAACCCCAAACCCCAAACCCCAAACCCCAAACCCCAAACCCCAAACCCCAAACCCTAAACCCTAAACCCTAAACCCTAAACCCTAAACCCTAGATGCCTTTGCAGGCCCGGGCTCTGGTGGGCTTCGACGGCGGCTCCTTGCAGCCGCCTCGCCTGTTATGGTTTCCCTTATAAAATAACCAACCCAAAGAAGGGTTTAGGGTTTAGGGTTTAGGGTTTAGGGTTTAGGGATAGTATGGTTACTGGGCTGCTATGCTAGGGGTCTATGGGGGTTCAGGGTTTAGGGTTTAGGTTTCGGGTTTCGGATTCGGGTTTGGAGTTTAGGGCTTAGGGTTTGGGGGTTTATGGGTTTCGGGTTTAGGATTTGGGGGTTTATGGGTTTGGGCTTTGGGGGTTCGGGGGTTTATGTGTGTGGGGTTTGGGGGTTTCGGATTTGGGGGTTTGTGCGTTTGGGGTTTGGGGTTTAGGGTTTTGGATTCTGGTTTTAGGGTTTAGAATTTGGTTTGAAGGGTCCAGGGTCTAGGGCTTAAAGGGTTCTGGGAGGTTAAAAGGCTCCTAAACCCTAAACCCTAAACCCTAAACCCTAAACCCTAAACCGGGGCTTGGCCAGGTTTTGTATCAGCGGTTCATGCAGTTTAGGCATGGCGCCCTCAGCTTCCGAGGCTCCAAAGCCCCCAAGCCCCGTTTAGGGTTTAGGGTTTAGGGTTTAGGGTTTAGGGTTTAGGGTTTAGGGCTAAGGTCTAGCCCTACTATCCTTGTTTGTCTGAAGCCTTAAACCCTAAACTCTAGACGCCAAAGCCCTAGACCACTGAGCCCCGTGTAATCTAAGGATTTGGGGACTCCCCATGGCTGCATCGCAATCGTCTCTTCGAGGCGCTCGGGGCGTCTTAGGGGATAGTTTGGGCAGATCTGTCTCTACACTCCGGTCCTTTCTGGGAGTTCCCGTTGTGCTACGGAAGCCATTCACTGAGGGCAAGCAACAGGATTTGGAGTTTTGAGGGGCTTGGTGTGTTGCTTCAGGGCTTTAGGGTCTGGGGCGTAGGGGTTTATAAATACTGTTGCGCTAGCCGTTAGTTGCAAGGTTCTACCGTGTCTCAGGGGCTGTGTTGCTGCTCAGATAGGGTCTAGGGCGTCGCTTCTGGGGCACTTTTTGATTGATGTCTGGGGGGGACCAGGGTGTTTGCAAGCCAAGTCTTGAGAGTTCAGTTGCTTCGGGGAAACCATCCTTTTCTCCCTTAAACCCTGTAAACCCTGTAAACCCCATAAACCCTGTAAACCCTGTAAACCCTATAAACCCTATAAACCCTATAAACCCTATAAACCCTATAAACCCTATAAACCCTGTAAACCCTGTAAACCCTATAAACCCTATAAACCCTATAAACCCTATAAACCCTATAACCCCTATAAACCTTACAAACCCTAAACCCCACACCAAATTAAGTATCGGGCGGCCGACCCTAGGTCACAAGGGCAGCATCACCGCCATCTCCGTGCACTGGAAGCAGAAACGCGCCTTCTCCGGCAGCCGGGCCTTGAGCATCTTAGGGTTTTGGGTTTTAGGGGTTTAGGGTTTTAGGGTTTCAGGGTTTTGAGGTTTTGGGGGTTTAGTGTGTTTTGGGGTTTTAGGGTTTGAGGGTTTGAGGGTTTGAGGGTTTTAGGGTTTAAGGGTTTTGGGATTTTGGGATTTTGGGGTTTTGGGGTTTTGGGGTTTTGGGGTTTTAGGGGTTTAGGGTGGTTTAGGGGTTCTCGTACCCCCTATGACAATCCCATTAAGGACTGTTAGTTTAAGGGGGAGCATTTGAAATCCTAGTTCCAAAGGTTTTGGGGGTTTAGGGTTTAGGGGTTTAGGGTTGGGGGTTTGGGGGTTTGGGGGTTTGGGGTCTTCGGGTTTTGGGGTTTAAGGTTGTTTAGGGTTTTTGGGTTGAAGGGAATTTCGGGGTTTTGGGGTTCTAGGGCTTTGGGCTCTTAAGGCTTTGGGGTTTTAGGGTTCGGGTTTAGGTTTTCAGGGTGTGGCTTTTAGGATTCTAGGGTCTAGAGTTGGGATGTTCCTCTTATACCGACAGTTTTTTATGGGAAAACATGGGTTACCATAATCACTATAACCACTATGAAGGGCTGGTAGTATCAGTATAAGGCGGAACATCCCAATAGTTTAGAGTGCCGATCCATCCAACTTATCGAGGCCCTAGGGGGGCTGGGAAACGTGCTTTGTCGCGTCTTGGGCTCTTCCTAGCTTAAGTTGGCGGATGTTATGTTGAATATATGCTGTGTCTAATGTAGGCCTCTGTGTGTCTTTGTGACTCTTCTTCTTCTTCTTCTTCTTATTCTTCTTCTTCTCGGTCTTGCTGCGCATGTTTTTTCTACTTCTGGTGCTGCTGTCTTCGTTTGCATCTTGCTTCAATGTCTAAGAAGGCCGCTGTTGGCGAGGGGATGTTAGGGTCAAGCATGCGGTTTGGGCCTCAAGGGCCGAGCCCCTCGAGGCTGCCAAACCTTGATCCGGCTGTTCAAATGGCTGGTAATATGTGGGACTAAAAATGGAAGACTCAACAGCAGGATACTGTTGAAAAAAGTTGTATGCGATGTGTTCTTTAACGCGCGCCCATTAATCCTCTTTTTGAAAAAGAGAGTACATAAACGCAATGTCTGATATGGGGGATTCTCTAAATTTGGGGCCCCTTTTTGGGCTTACTATTCTGAGGTGGCCCCTAATATATTCAGGCACTCAAACAGGGACCATCTTTTTGATAACTTTCCATATGCTTTTGCAAAGCATCCGCCTTGAGGTCAGTTGCACTTGTCAAGCATGTGCGTGCTGAAGTGGTCGGTTCTACAAATTCGGGTCCCTTTCTTGGGTCGCGTCGTACCCTGATAGAACGGGCCTGTCGGAAGTGCCCGCATGGGGACTGTAATCTTGGGAGCTCTAAACCCTCGCCCTAAACCCTAAACCCCAAGCCTAAATTCTAAACCCTAGACCCTAGACCCTAGACCCTAGACCCTAGACCCTAGACCCTAGACCCTAAACCCTAAACCCTAAACCCTAAACCCTAAACCCTAAACCCTAAACCCTAAACCAGCTAGACAGGGTCTCGGAAGAGCCAAGGATCGGCGGACAAGTCGATTCGCCTGTGGAACCTACAGCGGTCCGAGTGCATCAGGCGGTTTAGGGTTTAGGTTGAGGTTTCGGGCTTTGCGTTTGGGTTTAGTTAGGGTTTAAGGGCTACCCCTAAACCCTCGAAGCCCCAAACCCCAAGCCCAAAACCCCAACAAAATTCAAACCCCGGAACCCCACGCCACCCCGAAGCCCAAAGTGCCAGACCCCTAAACCGAAAGCCCTTAAACCCCAAAACCCCCCAAAACCCTAAGCACCTAAACCCTACCCCTAAATCCCCCCAAACTTCTTGGGTTCTTAAAGGAGGGGGGTGCAAGGCCGGTATTAAGGCTCCCTAAGCTTCCCTAAGGTTCCCTAGGTACCTGCCCGCCATGCACTCCCCTTCCCTCAAGAACCCTAAGCCCTAAACCCTAAACCCTAAACCCTAAACCCTCAACCCTAAAAGCCTAAAACCCTAAAACCCTAAAGCCGCAGGCTGATCAGCGGCCACATGCAGGGTGTCCGCACCCTCTGCGTGGACTGGGACCTGGGTGTGGCTGGGCCCAGTGGTGTTTGGTTTAGGGTTTAGGGTTTAGGGTTTGGGGTTTGGGGTTTGAGGTTTAGGGTTTAGGGTTTGGGGTTTGGGGTTTGGGGTTTAGCGTTTAGGGTTTCAGGGTTAGTTTGCGCT